AAAGACCAACTCGGAGTTCCTGACCGAGACCGCGGAGGGCGGGGGCGCAAAGTGCATTTGGACAGTTCTGCATTGCTCCGAGTAGAGCTAAATGCGAAAACGTGTCCAAACTGAATAGGCGCCAACTGACGAAGCACCATTCCTTCCCCCAAATTACATGATATTGCCCAGAGCGCGAGCAGCTGCAGAACCTGCCACTGTCTCCACCACACCCTCCGACAGGGTAGTTCGTATTGGTAGAGGCTGTACATCATGGTCGTAACAGAGAAACGATTCCGTTTTGTGTACTTCCTCTGGGGAGTAAATATCAAAACAATAATATTTTTTTTTATCTACCTATCTTCTATGCAATAGGTCATGTAAAGTGTTTTTGACGTACATGTTTCGTTGTGAGCACTTTTTTATAGTGCGACAAAGCTAGTGTGAATTTAAAAAAAAAATGTGGATGGACCTTTTAGCATATTTATGTGAATGAGTGAAGCCACTTTACCATCGGTATTTTTATTTCTAGTGGTGAGTTTGAATGTAGCTCGCTCATATTGCCCGTCTCCGCGAGCATCATGAGTGCACAGAAACTTGCGAATAAATATATTTAGCGGCGCACTTGCATGTCCCGACTCTACAGAATATATATTATGTTCACGGCTACAGTTTAATCCTTGGACATACAGATAATTTCATTTAAGTATATTTTGCGAAATATTCGTGTTTTCTGCAGTCACAAAAATTTAAACGCAAGATTACTCTGTTATACCCCTGTCAGATGCTGTCATAAAGTATATATATATTATTTTTTAAGTAGAGCTTCTTCCAAAGACTATCCTGCTAAAAGAGCTGCTGTCTCCCGACCGACCAAATGTCATTTAGCACTAATGTCAATTCCTTTATTATGACCACTCGCAGTTGAAACCAAAAGTGGTAGTGTTAAAATGACAAATTTCGACCTCATTACAATATTATTACGTTAAGTTTCATGTTTCTTTTTCTTTCAAAAAGAAGTTAGAAGGGTATAATGACACAACCAGATTTCATCTCATAACTGTGAACTTTTTGAGTGTGTCTTGCAACCGCTAGAAAATACCAAATTTGGACTTTCTTGGGAGGACCTCGGAGATACTGAAAAAATCGTATTTTTCGTGGTTGAAGGGTTTATTCTATCCATGCCTGTGCCCAACGCTTAGACACCACCAACGCCGTTATTACGTAATCGAAAAAACTATTTTCGCACCTAAAGGAATTTAGCGAGTTGCTTTAAAAGAAAACGTCATTTTGATGAAATGCTAATCCTGCCCATTGTGGCACTCCCCTCTTCTTTAAAAGAACGTGCAAACCACTAAGAAGAAAAGCACTCATCGGGAAAATGATTATCTGTGCCGAGGTTTGTATATTTGCAACTAATATAGGTGGTATAGACTCTCCAATATATACAACAATTTTATTACATCATAAGCTTAAATATTGATATCACACAACACCCTCATCTACTTTAGTACGTATATACACAATCGTTATAGCTTTCTATAATCTCACTCAGAACGTCAATCAGAAACTATATTTTGAATTGTATTAATTTGTTTGCATGTATCCAGGTATATAATACCGTAATTTGGATTTGAAAGACAAAAGAGTACAGATCTGTATTCAATCTTTATTCGTGTGATTATTAATCATTGTTACTTGTGTACAGAAGCAAATGCCCTTATGCTGCGAAGTGTGCTACAGGCACACTTCGCAGCAATTTACCATCTGGCAGTCTGCCGAATGAAGCAACCCAAACATGGCAGGTGGTTCCTGGGGGGAAATCTGCAAGGATTTTATTATTAGAGAAAACGATTTTTTTTTTTTTTAGTAATGCTGAACGCCTACTATACATGCATGAGAAAAGCTTCACAATATTTTATTTACGGACCACTTATTGTGCCTTTAAAACTTGGAGCAAAGATTTATTGTAGTTTATTACATTCTATGAGGACAATGTGGAAGGAAATTTTATAAAGTCGTCAATGAACACACTTCGCCAGACGTCGTTGATCTACTACCGTTTACCCAACGTATCTCAAAGCCATTTTAAAACGATGCCTTTATAGGGCACAAGCACTATCATGGCAAAATTCTGCGCACAAAAATATGTCTACATTGTTTATTTTAGTCACTTTGAAGAGTATGGAAAATAATATATTTGTAAACTAATAGTAAACTCAAGTATGTTAGTGAGTACAGCGTACTCAAGAGGCGGGGCAAACTCAAGCAACTCACCGTTAAATTTCGGTGCACTAAATAGAGAAAGCGCGACACAGTTATAGCAAAGACGACATCGCCGTTTTATTATTTTTAACCACAGAACTATTTTAGAAATTGGTAGTGTGCTGGAATGTGCTCATCAAGAAATGTAAAGTAAGCAGTACGATTCAGCACTCGTCAGTGCCATCCCTGTAGAAAACACAAAACAGCGCCAAAGTCCTGTTTATGTTTTACGGTCTTCCTTTCTCTACAATAAAACTGTAGATGAATTATTGGAAGAAAAGTTTAGTTTTCTGAGAACATAATTTGTGTGTAAGTTATATTCAATAGCGCATATAGCTGGCTCTTACAGTGTGTTGTCATTTCTCCCCGCATCGATCATCGCTTCAAAGTCGGCATACCTCTTTGCAAAACCTCGGCATACATTGACTCCTTCACTCCTCGAACGTCCTCCGATTGGAACCACCTTCCCGCATCTTTTGTAAACATATCATCAGTTAATTTATTTAGAGCTGCATTAGTTAATCATTTTTGCTAATACATATTAGGCTGATCTTTTCTTCTCTCTAGCAGAAGTGCATTGTTGGCCTTTGCTTTGCTTTTTTATGTTTTTGCATTGATGTTGTTCTTGTCCACCCCCTCTGTAATGCCCTCTGGGCCCTGAGGGTATTGAAATGAATGAATAAATAAATAAATAAATAACATAGCTTTTTCCACAAAGCCCTTCACTCTTTCCAGTTTAGCAGACCGAGCATAGGAAAAGAGGTGGATGAAGTGGGGTAAATCCTCTTACATAGTAAGCAGAGATCTTTGTGCAAGGGTCTTCTTTTTTTCCCTTTATGTTAAAAATACTATACGCATCGTCACCTTAGCGACAATATTAACCAAATACCTTGCCTTTGTTACGGCTGGCCCAGCTACCACAGTTCTTTTGGGCAAAATTTGATTTTTGTATGATGATTGAAGGCAAGTTACGGCTTGTTACCCCAAAAGAAACCAAGTTAGTGCCAAACTTTACGTTCTTTGGCCAAAGACTCAATATCTGGGACCTTACTCGCCAAACAGGTGCTAGAGTTATGCTTCATGCCTAATTGTTTGGCTTTTTTTATGCTGTAACTTCGGGACACAGTGCCTAATAAGTGTCAGATTAGGCTTTACTGCTGTTTCTTCGAATTACCCGTGGCATGTTTGGTTCAAGTGTGGCACTTTGGCCATCCCTTGGCGAGCCAAATACGCGTCATTGAAACGCAAAATAAAAGTGCATGGTACTAACTAACTCAGTGGAGAAAACCTTACAAAATCAAAGTTGGAGCCCTCGAATTGCCAAGTTTGTGCCAAGTTAGGCGTTCCTGTTGCGTGCCACCTGTAATTTGTTCCGACTTGCAAATTTTGCTTACGCCTTTGTTGTGCTTGTACGCCGCTGCACTAATAGATGTACCTGAACAAGAGGGCTATTGCTAAAAAACCATAAATATGTTATGCACGCTGAAAGGTACAAACGCTTTTGCCACATTTCCTTTTTCTAAACGCCATCCGCCGGAATGTTTGCCAGAGGAAGACGTTTATTTCGGAGGAGGAGTGTAGTGGATAAGGAGAGCTCAATCATCACAGTTCGTGGGCGGTTGATATTAGGTATTATTTACTTGAAGGTGAACATTTCGGCAGACGTCTGCCTAATTGGGATAAATGTTATAAATAAATAAAGGGCAAACGCCAACCAATGAGAAGCTGTGGTGCCTCGCTTCTCAATGGTAGAGCGGAGAATTGTCATAAGGTTTGTGTGCGGAATCGAATAATACATGTCTTGAATATCTATTGAAAATCCAGATGTGACACCCGTTCCATTTTCTTGAAGATATCCTGTCATTTCTGTCTTTCTGTCATATCCTGTCATTTCTGTCTTTGTGTTCTAGATATTTTTAATGTTCAAGCTGATATAATTACAAGTATGTACCAACAAGCTCAACTCTTAACCGTTACTCAGCGCTACACTCTCGATCAAATTTGCGTACGTCATTCTTACGTTGGCGGACTTTTTCCTTGGGGTTTTTTGTTTCGCCGACGTATGAAGCGGAACACTCAGCACAGGGAATTTGGTACACAACGCCTTGTGCTTTTTCTCTCGCTGAACGGTCTTTCGGACGAGGCATTAGGCGCTCAAGCGCCCTAGATCCATAAGCCAAATGTTCCCCTCCGGCCTATCGTGAATTTTACAACGTCACCGCTTCGGGCGCTATCCAACTACCTCCTCAGCATACGTCAGTGGACTACGACACTTAGAAGAGACAATAAAAAAACAGGCCCCTACCATAGAGGCTAACGAAGATGCTGATCCTCGTTTGTAAATAACCAACTTTGAAGAAAACGAAGGTACCGCACTTGGTTTGAAAACTAACCCCCGTAAAAAAACGAAGATACTGCCCTACATTCACCGCAGAAGAAATGAAAGAAGCTGCTTCGCTTTTAAATAGCCCCCCTGAAGAAGGTGCCGAGCCGGCACCGCAACGTTGGGACCCTACGATCTGTTAGGGATTGGTTGGCGTTTGCCCTTTATTTATTTATAGGGATTATTTACTTTTTTTTTTTAATTCAGCTCGGCAAATTAGCATTTTAAATTTGTATGTAAGGCCCAAGATCTCACGGTTTTGTAAATTGATATCTAGTAAAGAATAAAAACTGTACTCCGCTTAATACCTATTTGGACGGATCTGGAGTATGAGAGAACAGTCTTTATATGATGGCCCGGTTGACAGAGCCACGTAACTATATATCCCAATCTGGAAATCATCGGCTCATTCGGTTCTGTCCAGGACACCAACGCTTTTTCCTTCGAGACGGGAGCTACCTTCACTTCGGTTGGAGCACGCAAACCTGTAAACAAGATAACGCGTACATACTTAGTCCAGTTATTCAGTACAGAGGATATACATTTTTAATATTTCACCTGTGCATTCTAGTGCCTTGGAGGAGGCGCATTTGTATTTGCATCGTGATATGACCTTGCATATACTACACACAACGTATTCACAAACAGGTAAACATAAGTTTGTAACTGTCGTTTACCGATTGAGGTGTGCGATACGATAGAGCAGCAGAGCTGTATAGACTTCGTCGGTCCTAGAAAATGCCTCTTTGGAGCCGATACTCAATGTGAATAAATGTTTGTTCTCGTTTCTCTTTGGGGGTAATATGTTACTCAAAATTTGCCCTCACATGTTAGTTAAAGTCACTGCAAACGGCTAAGGAGAGTTTAAAGTATACAAATATGATATGTTTTTTTTTGTAATATTGAGTATACTTTTACCAGATTTTAGGGAAATGAGCTCCATTTCTGCATTAATAAAAACACTAAAATAGATATATTTATAACTGTATTATGTATTAGTCCAAACCATTCAAACATTCTCAATTTTATATATCTTGCGCCATTTCTTTTTAAGTAGTTCGTTTGTACATAATTTGCGAATGTGATTCTAGAAAGTGTTTTGATTGACGTGTTTAATTTATTTTTCAGTAGAAAACTTATATTATCCTTGCTTATATTCTGTTTACATGTTGTAAACCTTCGATAAAATAAACAAAACAAATATCATTATTTGTCATATTTCGTGAAAATATGAACGTTCTGCAAAGTACCAGAGTGAAGCAATGTAAATCTCCACTTCTATACTTTTGAAATTTTATATATCCGGAAGCAAATTAGCTACGTTATCCACATATAGTCAGATCTGTGCATCTTAAATGTTCTACTCTATATACTGTATTTAACATACCTTTGTTAAAATTTCGGCATCTTGCCAAATCATTTCGTCTAGTGTATTTGCTGGTCTATCTTAATTACATTTCTCGCCATCCTGTACTCAGCCCCTCAAATACGTTTTTCAACTTCCAAAAATATTTGTCACCGGAACAATCTACGGATCCAGGGATCGTCACACTCCACGGTAAAGCTGAACCGACTGCAGACTTGAAGGCAAGCGACCGAACACAAGACAGGAAGCAAGGCATAAGCAAACCTTAGTCTCCAAATGCCGCCAATAGACGACCGAATGGATAGCCCCAAGTACGCCCGCCTTTATGTGTCCTCCTGTCCGCTTTTTTTGTCAGGTTGTTTTTGAATTGCAACTTACACTTGGAGTTAACAAAGTTCGGGTGACATCATCCGATTTTACACCTTTTGTCTGAAGCCAGGGTGGTTCCGTAAGCGGAAGACTGCGAGGCCAACGCTTCGCACGGTCACAATCGACCATTTTAGAAAATCGCTGGTTCAAGTGGTTTCGGTGCAAAAATGCGCGAACCCGTCTTCAAGTGAGCATCAACACACTCTCAGAGCCGTATATGAAAATAGTTTGGCTAATCTATTATCTCGCCGCCGTGACGGCCCCCTCCCGAGTGAGCCAATCAGCCCGCGGCGCAGAGCAAGAGGCGTCGGCGCATGCGCGTGAACTCCCGGCTGCTCCTAGCTAAGCGGGGAGGGTCGCCATTTTCATTCATTCGCCTGGCGGAATGCATAGGGGGATCGACATCCAAATTTCGGTTCTTTCATTTTTTTGCAGGCTTTGGCAAGAAAAAGATATAGTGTTATTCCTCGGTGGCTTAAAAAGCTAACGAATGTAGTTTCACCACGTATGAACGCAAACTTTGATTCAGGCAAACAAGAAATAAGCCTGTAACAGGCGACGCGTAGCCTCGACAGTGCTCGGCGCTGGCAGGCGTTGCGTAAAAATGGTGGTCGTCTCCTCTTTGCTCCCTTCTTTCTCCCTCGCTCCTTTGGCGCTCTCCTCCCTTTCCTTCTCTTTTCTCGTCTCCGGTGCCTTCGTCGCCACGCCCACTGGTCAACTCTCCCCTTATACGGCTCTACACTCCCTCGGCCGAAGAAGCTATACTTGTTTGTACCTCAAGAACCGCAGTAAAACATGTCAGACTTTTCGCGGAGCACTACAATTTTCCACCTTTATGTAGAGAATTAAGGTATGTGTAGATACATCGTAGAGTAGATATTTTTTTACCTTATAAGGACGTGCACGTTTCAAACGCAAAAAGCTTCGCCCTTTCTCCCGACAACCAAATCTTGTAAGAACTACTTCGTGCGGCGTATAAAGAATACTCAAAAACTCCCTGTTTTCTTAGTCTGAAAACTAGTATAGATCCTGCTGGTTTTATTGAGCGGCAGTGACCTAAATTGGGCTGCCCCAAGGCCCCTTGTGTGCCTATTGTGGATTAACTTTGGATTCCAAGCTCGTCAAAAAGCGTTTCTCTCCTCTCATCTCGAATGCGCAGTATTTTTTTTTCTTCATTTGTTTTGCGGAGTTGTTTCCGCAGAGGGGGCAGAGATAAAGGCACAACGCCTGACATAGCCTCTGCCCCCCCCCTCCCCCCCAATCGTACAGTTCAACATGGAGCAACAAAAGTTACAATCAAGCAAAAAAATAATATAACCGCTGTAACGAGATAAAACAGCGCTTTGTACCGATAACATAATTGATGAAATCATTAATAAACGCGAAATGAAGCGTTCACAAAAACAGGTCAAACAATTCCTTGAAGATAAAAACAAGAACATCTGCACACTCTGTTTATGGGCAAATAACACAGTATTCACGAGGTCAAAGAGATACTGCAATGCAAATTTGAACTACAGAAAAAAAGTGCACAACGTTACACCTAGAAACAAATTATACCAAAGAAAATGCTACCTCACTTGCCACTAGAATATTTCTGCAAAAATGTTTGAAACTACCAAACGGCTGGTCAAAGTTTATGTTGATATCTGTTCTATTAAGCAGTTTAATGATCTGAAAGTGTGATGCTTGTCGACTATAGTTTGTTCTCACGTGTGGTGTTTTTCGAATTGGGTTCCGTAATAAGCATTGATGAGAACTGGTAATGGGCGTCGAGTGGAGCCTATTTCTATCTATCATTTGCAACAGCTTGAAATAATAAATTTGATTTGCCTTAAGAACAATATACTTGATAAAGAGTGGCTGCGTTCTTAAAATCCTTATGTCGTCCCTATAATTTTCACATATCCGTAGTATATTTTTTTGTAAAGTGATTAGTTTATTGTAGTTTGTAGCTGTTGTTGTACCCCACACTATCATGCCGTAACTGATCCTAGAATAAGATAGGGGGTAATATAACGTTAGTCTAAGCCAGGCAGGAATTAGATTTTGAATTTTATAAAGAATGCCTGTAACTCGGGACAAGTCGGCTTTTAGTTTGCTGGCGTGCGTATTCCAACAAAGGTCCTCAGTGAACCAACCACCTAAAAATTTTTGTTCAACCACCTGCTCAAGTACAGAGCCTTCAAATTTTATGTTTATAATGCTTTCATCTCGGTTGCCCGTTGGCTTAAGAATCAGATACTTAGGGCCGGTTGCACCAACGCCGCTTAACGCAAAGCGGAGCTTAGCCGGGAACCTAAGCTTAGTTTCGGTTTCGTTCGGTTGCACCAAACTCGCTTATCGATAAACCTAGCACTAAACTACGCTTAACTTGAGCGCTCAACATTGGGCGCATTGCTTTTGGTTGTTTCTTAATCCTGGATCAAAAACATGGCGGCTGGTTTGTCGCGGTCGACGCGGTTGACGAAATTGATCGTGCAAAGTGTTTTAGGCTACATCAGCGTGAAAGTTTCGACAGAATGGCTTCGATTATGACAAGGATGCAAAATATTGTCGCGTGAAGTGTTTATCGACCCCTGTTTTCAAGTCGGCTCTCCACTCTCGGGGCGTGTTAGCCCTAACCGAGATACGTACGGAGGGTACGGAGCTGTGGGTCTGTGGGGCTCACGGGGCTCACGTCTGTCTTCCCGTTGGTTCTTCTGTCGACGAGCTTATTCGTATGTACTTACTAATTTCCGCATAACCGTAACGTATTGTTATTTACCACCGTGTTTATTTACACTTGCAGCGCGTATCCTTCAATTCGATCAGCGTGTTGAATAGTGGCAGTACATGATCTCAGCGATCAGCTGATTGTCGACGCCTCTGCCGTTCGCATTAGATTCGCGGCGCTTTTAAGTAATAAAACGACGAAAATTCAATGTCTTTCGTTTTCTGAGTTTTGAGACAATCTTCAGTGAATTTCCCTAATCTCGCGAGGAGAATCTTGGCTTCAGAAAACTGTATCGTTCTATAACCGTAACTTTTTTGGTGATCGCGATTTTTTTAGGAATATTTTGCTTTATATCTTTCATTCGTGGCGACGACAAATCGTAACGACTACTATGCTAGATTCGTTCATTGCTGTATTGGGGCAGGCTGGGGCAGGCGATGCGAAGAGACGACCGTTCTTATCGGCACGATGTGATGTACTAGTGGGAGTTTTTTTTTTCTGAACTCGACAGGTTTGCGTGGCGAGTTCGTCAGTGTCTTGAACTTCATCGGTCTCAGGCTTGACTTGATATTAGTAGTCATCTTACCTGCCTACTTATATCGATGATGTTTTGTCTTCAGCGATGTAGCGAGTAGAGTGTCCTTCTCGCGTTCGGTGAGATTTGGGGCCCCCGATGGCTCCTTCACCTCGAAATGTGAGCACGAAAACTACTACCACTGTCAAAATATCCTGTTATCAACCGATATTAAACACACAATCACAGATGTAAAGAGAATTCGTGTTTATTTGAAGCTTTGACTTCTGTTATTGAAAGTTAAACGAAAAAATGATTGAATTTGGAGACCTTTATTTTTTTTACACACCGAAGAAATACAGCGAAAAGCAGACGTCGACGACGACTACTATGGCAGTTCTTTTTTTTTTTTTTTTACATCACGTGATTTCTCTCCGCCAATCGTATTCGTCCCTCTGATCGTTCCCTAGTTCGCTCTGTTTGTCCCTAGATTCCCTACGCAAATCCAGCGTTTAGCTAG